GGGGGCTGTGTTTAAATCATGATTCTATTTCACAAAGGGCTAGAGGTGTAATTCTCTTCTCATAAAACCTGTGGGATTGTAAGATCCTACTGGTTCTACCTTGTTCACCAAATGTTTAGGGTGAGCAAGAATCAAACCCAGAAAATACCAACCTGACAGTAACCCAACCAGAAACCCTTGCTGCTGTGACTGAAATCTGAAATTGAAATGTGAAAGTAATTCATCTCTTTGCTGCAACTAAAATCTGCAATTACTTCTGCCTCCTTTCAACTGTAATTTCTGCTTACCCCTTCCAACTGCTATTGCTGCAAGTGGCCTAGCCACTTGTATCTGATTTTTTTGTTTGTAACTCTGTGATTCGCACCTTGCATCTTCCTTCATTCTCTTTCTCTGAGTGGATGACAATGTGGTCAAAGAGATTCAGATGAGTATAATATTATTATTTTATTAACTAAATATAAGAAAGAAATATATGCTAAGGTTGTATATCAATGTACAAGACACCTATTGTTTATTTTTGAATGTAGCTTGTTTAATCTTGTGATTTTAAAGGTCTTATGATTATTTGGGTTAAATTACATTTTACATTTCTTCTATCCCTGTCTAATTTCAAGTCTAGGTAGGATCTTCTGATTTAACAACCTTTTGGATTGGCAGTGGTGTTGAATTAATTTTTGAGTTTACCCCCCTCTGATTTATTTTCCCAAATGGTTCTATATTGTATGCCTCATTGCTGGGTAGGTTTAAGTCAACTAATACTTTATATGATCTGATTTTGTTGGCAGGAAAGCAGGACTTCCTGTTGGTTACAAGGGTTGTCAATTTCATAGAGTTATTAAGGATTTTATGATTCAGGCCGGTGATTTTGTAAAGGTACTGTTCTGGTTTATCTTTGATTTTTTTTTTGGCATATACTGTGCAAGAGCAGTAGTGTGTGTCGACATTTATGAAAATAAAATAAGCTGAGCCCACTTTTATGGTCCTTATGTATGGCTTGATCTTATTGGACACATATAGCATGATGGTTAACTTAGTTATGAAATCTGTGTTTCTTGCCCAATATTTTGTGGAAACTATTTTACTCAGTGATCAATCCCTAATAGCTGTGTGGAGAGTCTGACTACAAAACTGCTTTTGCGGAATAGTGGGATGACTGCTATTTTGTACTGTTGTTTATGTATATGCATTGATTGATCTATCTATGCATTTACTCTTAATGCAGTTCTGCCTTCCATTTTAATTCACAAGATTTATGACTTGTATAAATGTTGTTAGTGACAACAATAGAGTTGAATCCTGGTTTTATATGAAATCCTTACTAATAAATTCTTCTGTGGCAGGGTGATGGTAGTGGATGTGTTTCCATCTATGGACTCAAGTTTGATGATGAAAACTTCACCGCCAAACACACTGGCCCTGGCCTTCTGTCAATGGTATGTGTTTGCTTTTTCTACCTTCTGTCATTTTGGGTTATATGAAAATAGGGGCTGTTGATGGAATGGACACACAAGGATAAATATGTACCTGTATGGTATTATTTACTGTGATAATTGTAATGTATCAATTCTGAAATAATTGACATTACGTTCATACACAAATCTACAAGACATTTCTTAACATACTATCAATTATTTCACTTCCTGAACACTTTGGAATCATATTAATCTTTCTTTGCTAAACTTCAGACAATTATGGCATCAATTGATTCAATTTGTATGGCTAAATTATGCTTTCATTTATTTTAATGTAAAGAAGGATTAAGTCCGTTTTGTCTAACCTGCAGGCAAATAGCGGGCCAAATACCAATGGTTGTCAGGTAACTTCCCAATGGTTACTCCCTTTTCCTTTCCCTTTTCTCAGCAGTAATGTTAAATTGGTAATGCTCTATGACTACTGATGGATTTTCTCTTATTGCTTGCAGTTCTTTATAACATGCGCAAAATGTGACTGGCTTGACAATAAGCATGTCGTTTTTGGGGTATGCTTCAATATCTTCAGCTGCATGTATTAATTATTTTTCACATGGCTAGAATGTGAATTTACTTGTTCCTCAAGTTTTATGTTTGCATCCTTCAAATTAGGTAGCCGGGAATTTGGGTAGCAAAGAGTGCAAGATTTATCAAACCCATGAGCTTTAAAGGAATTTTAACCTGTCTCAAAAATTCATATGCATTCGTATCTATGTGCCTTTATTTGTAATGTTACTAGCAGCTTCCTTCTCCTTAACTGTTGATGTGTTGTGCATTTACCACCTGTCTTCCCTTTATGCAGAGAGTGCTAGGAGATGGTCTTTTGGTTGTCAGGAAGATTGAGAATGTAGCAACAGGACCCAATAACCGACCAAAATTAGCTTGTGTCATTGCTGAGTGTGGTGAAATGTAACTTTTAAAGCAAATTCACTAACAAACAATAGTTATCTAAGCAAAGTTGATTGAATCCCTCCGCAGCAACTGCACTTACTATACAGATGTGAGCTTTCTACACAAATATTTCTATGGCTTGAAACTAAACATATAAGGGATTTTTCTGTAAGGCTGGATAATATATCATGACTTAGTTGAATAGCCAGCTAATTGAATGATCATGCTTCGGAATGGTAGAATATATTACTATGATGAATCCTTTTTTCCCAAAATCATCAAGCACATGCAGTTGCTAACATATTCCTACGTATTTTCATTTTTCAGTATGTAGTTATAGTTGGTATTAAAGTACTTCTGAAGGTTATTGCCATTTCCCAATATAGAGCCCCGTTTGGATCTGAGCCAATAGAGTTATTGGGAGCTTTATTTCTGGTTTAAGCCTTGTGTTTTTCTAAAAACAGGTAGGATTATAGGAACACTTGTGTAGGGGATATTTACACAATACCAGCCTAGCTACTACTTTCTAATCTCTAAAGTTGTGATTTCTTCACGATGTTCTTAATAGAATCTGGGGGAATGTATGAAACAGGTATTTCATATAGAATAATGAGATGTCCTGAAACTCGATATATATTCTCTTTCCTAACCTCAAGAAGGATGCATGAGTCCATGGCCAACGGTTGGGAAGAGTTGAGATATATTCAGTGTAAAACCATTAAAGATGACCCAAAAAGCCATTTTCGTTATGCTGCATGAGAAATTTGATGCATACATCAACCGGTAATTTGGCCTCCCGTTGGTAAGGACAATGACAAAGATCATTCATTCAGTCTTGCATCTTTTATCTTAATTCCAAGTTTAATTTTTTCGTATTGGATATGTTTGTCTTAAAGTCAGAATTCTAGTATTCGTGGAATGAGCCTAGTTGGAAATTTAATTTTAGTCACACTGATTAGGTATAGACTAATTAAGTGAAGGCCATATAAACTCATTTAATTTTAGTCACACTGCTTACGGTTTTGTATCAAGTTTCTGATTTCTAATTTGTTCGGATAAATAACTTAATTGTTTTGTTAAATACATGGTTATCGTGTTTTTATTTAAGTTTTACCGTCAAAGAGAAAATAAGATTAAAACTATTTTATGTAAGTTGTAAATTCTTTATAAATATATTTTTGGAGAACTTTTGAAACAAGTTAAAAACCATTGTAGGATATATTGAGGAAAAAGACTTCGTAATGACAACGTAAAATAATTTTACACGATCATCTAATTATAAACTATCTTGTATACATGTAATATTATTCAAAATTATTTTTAATAGAAGTAGCTTAGTAATTCATACAATCAACCAATCATCACACTATGATGATTTGACACTAACACTTAATTAGGATGACAATTCCAACAACTTGTCGTGGTTAGTCAACTTTGTAAGGGTATTCCAACCTATATGTGAAGAAATGCCAGATGTTAGAAGGGAATTAATGTCTATAAAAAATTTAACATTTTATGCGAAGAAGTAAAGTAGATATTTAAGACCAAAAAGGTGCAGATAAGGGAAATCAAAAAACACAACAATTTTATATTGATTTGTCTCGACGAACGAGATCGCGTCTAAGTCTTGATCAATTTAATCAAGTTTCACTATTTTTTTTACAAAGATATAAGTATTTTTTTTTCACAAACTATTTCGCACAAACTATTCAAGTATTCTTTTAACAATAAAATCTCTCCAGACTTTAACACCAAATATTTTATAAATATAAAGTCTTCTCAGGCTTTAAGCAAATGCACTTAGTCTAAGTTGGGTAGATAACAAATAATTTGTCTTATAAACAAGACATGATAAACATTAAGTACAAAGAATAACTTTACAGGGAAAGAATAAAGAATAAGTTTGTTTATTGCTTTTGCTTCTCTAAGATTGTCAAAGCTTCTTTAAATATGAGGAAAAAATAAAGATATCAGTTGTAAATTCTTGAGCTTCACTCATTAACTTGCTTCATCTCACTTTCTTGTATGAAGATATGTCCATTATTGTATTTAATACTTACATTTAAGGAGTTTCACCAAATAATCACTTTATCTAATTAAGGATGTTGTTAATTAACTTTAAGACATAAAAAGGTAGGGAATTGTAGCATATGTTAGTCATAAATAACTTTTAGTTGACTTTGCATACTTTGAGATATCTATTTATCCTTTCCTTAACATAAAGCAAAATCTCATCCTTTTATACATTGTGAGTACCAAAGAAACATTTATTTCTTTGATCTGTTAAAAAATCTTATTCCTTTGACATGTTAAATATGGTGTTTAAAACATTTGTTTATGATAGACGATACACTCAGTCTGATAAGTAAACGTGTATAAGCATTATTCTATTTCATCTTATGATATGATTTAGACTAACATCTTAGAGTTTGATCTTTCTATGCTTTGTAAAAATGCTTACATTTGTTATCATTAAAACATAACTTTTGAGGGATCTTAATTCTTCTGTTGATCTAACACTATGAGATCAATATAGGTCACATAGAGATTTCACACTAGGTAACATTCTTGAGGCCAATATTCAAAATCTTTAGTGGCCTCCCCAGTTAGACTCTATTATTACTTGAATACATATTTTTCATGTTAAGAGGCATTGTAGACACCAGATTTCATCTGGATTATCCCTATTAAGGATGAAAGGCCTCTAGGACAAGAAAAGCAACCCTCGAGGGTCTAATAAGGCACTAAAACAAATTGAGACAACACCAGGGAGCCCAGAAGACTCGAAACCCTAGTTTGGGGTGTGGAACGACTGTTTCCAACCTTGGAATGACCGTTCCCAATTCAAAAATGACACATAAAACATAGTTGGGAACGACCCTACCCAATCAGCCAACCTGGTGTTATTTTGAGGCCCGGAAAAGTCGTTCCAACATTGGGAATGACCATTCCCCATCCCTGGGTGCCTATATAAGTATGCCCAAGGCTTAGTCTTCAACACTTCACACACACAAAGCAAAAGATTGTCAAAATGCGCCTTTGTACACATTCTTAAAGATTCTTCTATAAAGGCTTGCTTCAAAGGTTCTAATTCTCTCTCTTTTCTCTCTCCTTTTTATTTGCTTTTCTCACAACCCTATTCATATGCGGTAAATCAATAATCATGCAGATAATAAGTGTTTAAATGACTAATAAAATAAAAGGGTAAAGATTCAATTATAATTGTTATTATGCTAAACTTATCGTAGGGTACCAATTTAGGGAGTTGTGGAGTACCTAATAACTTCCTCACACATAATCGACCCCAAACTTGATTATGCTTATGAAGGCCATAATTAATTTTCAAAAACCATTTTATTTTTCCAATGTTTTGAATAAAATATTGGTGGCGACTCCTTTAAACATTTCAAAAAAACCATCAATGAGGGTTTAGTCCGGTCTTCGAACATTCCCAAAGCTAGTGAGATTTTCAAAACGAAGTTCAAAACATTTGTGGGCAAGATCAAAATTTTTCAGATTATGATAGACATGAACTCACACAAATGCATATGGTATCACAAGATACAACACATGGTGGACACTGCCTATCATAGGCTTGGTCCTCATTCACTTTATTTAGTAACATTTATTGTGACATCTAATAACATATATCTCATTTACTTTCATTTATAAACAACCAACAAATACATCATTTAAATAGGTATCAAATGTTGCAATTATAGTTGCAAAATTGGAAAGCATTCAAAACTCAAAACCTACAACAAAGAGAGAAGTGAGGCAAGAGTGATATGAGAAGTTGTGCTTAATGTGATATTTATAGTTGAAAAAAGTAGCATCGAGCATCAGACAATAAACACGAAAGGTATAAGCAATTAAAGAGTAATAAAAACATTTTAATATGTAATCAATGACCAATGACTAGACAATTAAAAGGCTATTAAAATGAGATTATGAGTAGTTAATTTCAAAGAATTTAAAACTATTACATTTTAGATAGCCTCTTAATTTTTGAAATTATTTTAAGATATAATTAATTAAAAACATAAAAACTACAAGAAGTACATGTATCTCATGGGAAAAATTGTGACACCCTTTACCCCACATGTCATAATACAATATAAAACTCAATAACCTTGATATAATAAATAAACTCAAAGTTCACATTTTAACATAAATTAGACTTGGCAAAAATAAGAATTACAAAGGAAATAAAAATTAAACAACTCAAAATAAATAGTAACAATCAAATCCTAATTAGTCTTAACTAATTCCTTGGTGTCACATGTCCTATCAGAGTAAAACCCAATGTTGAAGACTAAGTCTCATCATCGACACCCGATGATTACTTGTAAAAACCACAAGAAAATGACATGAAAGAAAAAAGAGTGAGAACATCTCACTCTAACTCACAGTGTAGGAATGCAAGCCAACTAGCCAAACACAAACAACATGATATAACATACACAGTTACACATCATCATATTTAACTCATTCATATCGTAGTAAGTAATAATAGATAAAATTATAATGTATATGCAATGAACACAAATTATATGTTATCATGCATACGACGCTAGTAAAATTATCACATGCTAGCAACACACTAGAGTAGTCTAGGAGTACAAGTCGGGTCACACCCTCTGCGCACTCTCACTAGGAGGACATACTATCAGGGTTTGGTCGAGATAACTAAGATGCATAACATAAATCCCCATGCTCACGAGGGCAGGATTGAGACTTTCAAACCGAGCTATCCCCAAGGTTGGTTCCTAAGCTTTTACACAAGGGACCTTCCCTGGTGGTGTATTTCATATCATACCCTTACAAAAAAAATTTATGCACATGATGTATGTCAAACAGACTCTATGCATAACATTTCACATGATCTCATTAATTCATTGTCAACTAATCCCATATCATAAAATCATCAACCATTCTGAATATAGTAATTAGGCTAAAACCCTAATTTGGTCCCTTATAATATTTTAAAGTTTCAGTTTAGTCCCACTTTAATTTTTGGGTTCAATTTAGTCCCATCTGTCAAAAATACTAACAATGTTTATCTTCCGTTTAAATTTCTCAAACGCTGTTTAAGAGCCATGAGAATCACACTCGTGATTCCCATGGTGTGAATCACATAAAAAAATCTGCTAAGTAAGAGTTATGAGAATCACGCCCGTGATTCTCAATCACATGGACACTCCTAAACGGCGTTTGAGAAATTTAGATGGAAGGCAAACATTGCTAGAATTTTTAATAGGTGGAACTAAATTGAACCCAAAAATTAAAGTGAGACTAAATTGAAACTTTAAAATACTATAAGGGACTAAATTAGGGTTTTAGCCTAGTAATTAACAATTCAACTATATCAATTATATATTAGAAATCAATGGCATAAGGGATCATATAACTACAACTCATACATAGCTCACAAGCATATCAATAGCACACTCACATACTACATTTTCATAACTTAATTTTCTATGACACCGCGTTATACAAACATCCTATCTAGAGCTATATATATGATATCAAGTTGATCTTAATTTTATTATAAAGCTAATATAAGTATCTCCAACTTCTATGTTTACCTCAAGAGTTAAATATGTCATATACTATTTTAAATAAATACAAAACTGCGACATTTCAGTCTAAATCTGACAAGTTGATCTTTGATCATTAATTTGACCATAACTTATATTCTAGACTTCCTTTTTAGGTAATTTCAATGCCATTTGAAATATAACATATAAGGCTACAACTTTCATGAAGATCACAAAACCTAATTCTGCTATTTATGTCTACCCAAAAAGCTTACAATGTACACATGTTATATTTTGTGCACAGAATATGAGGTTCGTCTTTTAGCTTACATAACTCGGTTATTCCTTAACATTTTTATGTGATTCTTGAGTCTAAATTGTAGCTCTAAATATCTAATTTCTAACTCAATAATAAGAACTCAATTTCATTAATCACACACTGAGAAACCAGATAAATAGCAAGGTATGTTCATACCATAATTTTTAGAATCTAACATAACTCATGCCTAAACTTTTTTTTTTCTTTCTAAATCCAATTGATAAAAACTCTACATGGATTATGTTACATTTCTAAAAGACACACTTTATACATATAACTACATACCCAATTAATCTGCTCGTACAATCACTAATGCATTGCTTTAGGGTTTGGCAAAAAACCCATAGAGGTCTCAAATCATACAATTACAATCTCAAAACATGACATCAATCATCCATTCAAGCAATTCATACAATTAATTACATACAATAAGAATAAAAAGTGAAACAGACACAATTCGGGAAAACCCTTCATACATGAGCATATAATAAACACATGATTGGAGGTCAATCCTATTACCCGATATACATACCAACCTCCACAAAGAGGTTTCTCACTCCCCCTTACTTGGATAAGCTCTAGATGACGAGTGCACAACTTCGGAGTGATTTCCTTCTTGGACCTATTTTTTGAGTTTTGAAGCGCATACATGAAAATAGAGGCATAAAAAGGGTTTGATTAGAAAACTCCTCTTTTAATTACCCTTTTGAAGTGCATAGGTGAAAATAGAGGCATAAAAATGGTTTGATTAGAAAGCTCCTCTTTTAAAAACCCTAACCTCTCTTTAACCTTCTAGTTAACCATATTAATCCCAATTATCCCGAAAATCCCTTCCCTTTTTAATAAAATATTATATTATTCTTTAATAAAATATCATATAATATATTCTAAAATATATTACATAATTAAAATAAATATTTAACATCTCCCATTAATAAAATAAAAATATCAAAATTATTAGTAAAATACTTATATTGTATTTTATGAAAAATGGGATGTTACAAAAATAAGCTAATTTGCACTACAATAGGCCTACTTGGTTCATATTTGTATGCATGAGTCTCACCAAAATGACCATTATTGTTAGCCTTTTTGTATGTCTTTATCATAACTTGGTATATAAACTATTCTCCAAAGGCAATACTAGCTTGGGTGGGACTTCATGCCTTTTGTAATATCACATATATACAACAACAAACACTTCAAAACACAACCACCGTGTCAAGAGTTATGTGCTTAGGGAAAATTCCCCCTTGCATAATGCCAAGCGGTTAAAGATCAACCCTTTCACACTCAACACCCACCTTTTACTGCTTAGCATTGAGGAACAAAGATTGCTCTTTGGAGCTCCATTATTAGCCACACAAAAATGGCACTTAGCCTAAGCCTTGCTCATAGTTCAAGTGTTTCCACACTTATCCTCATCATCCAAGAGTTTTAAAGGTGTCATCTAGTGGTCCTACACTTAGTCATATAAATCTCACACCTAATCTTGACACTTAGTTCAAGAGTAACAACGCTTAGCCCTATGCTCTAGGAGTTCCAAAGAACCTCTCTAGAGCTATCATGCTTATCCTTATAATTTTAATGCTTAGCTTGATCCTAGCACTTAACCCATGAGTATGCACCCTAGCCTAGGCGTAAAATATGCACTTGTGCATAATTGTGATTTCTATGAATGGGAGGGTTTACAATGGCCCCTAATGGTTCAAGTATCACTCATTCAACACCAAATGACATACAAATGTAGCCAGAAGAAGGCATGTCCAACAAGTGTAGATTAGTCTTTGATTGTCAATTTTAGAATATTGTGTAAACTATGTCAATGGACACAAAAGTGACATATAAATGTTTTATAATGCTTATAAACATCAAGTTAATGTATAATAACTTCTAAATGATACAAACCAAACAATATGCCCCACAATCTATAATTTTAATAATACTAAGTGAGATAAATACTTAAACAAGCAATCAATTTATAATTCAACAATCAATCAATTTTCTATTTAAACAATCATTACAAGAATTAGGCACTTTTGGAGTATTCACAACTTATCTAATCAAGTTAAATCACATATATTTGATCTTTATGAGGTTTAGGGTCAACTTTGTTATCTACAATTTAAATTCATATCTATAAGTAGGACAATTTACTCTTCCTTATCTCAAAAGCCATTTTCTCCATGATAAAAGTGCAAGTAGTGATTCAATTGAATCCTTTATTTTCTCCATTCTAACTTTGACAACATACGATCTAGGGGGCAAAAAAAAAAAAAATAGAAAAAGAAAAAAGAACAGGATCTTAAGAATCCTAACAACTCTAATAATGATTTAGGTTCATAGAATAAGATCCAACACTCTTCTTAAAAAAAATTAATGATATATAAAAACCTCTTATTTTCTAAATAGACTCAAAAATACTCCATGAAATTATTTATTTCATTAAAATTAATTAAATAAAATATTTAATAACTACTAATGTATATAGATAATTAAGAAAAAAAATAAAGAATTATAAACACTCATTTATATTTAGGACATATTATTTGTGTAAGAAAAAAAATGTTTGAAACATAAGCTAAAGTTTGATAATTATTTTTTAAATAGTTATTTTTTTCCTCAAATACATTATTCTTGACTTACCCTCAAATTTTCCAATAATTTTTTTAACTTTGTAGTTATATATATATATATATATATTTTTTTTTTCTTAATTTATGATGCAAAAATTGATTTTCTTTATATCCAAATAAAATTAATTATTTTAAAATACTTTTTTTTTATCAAAATTATCCAAACAAAAAATTAATTCATGACTACAATTAATTATAAAAATAATTTATTATTTGCAATTATCTAAAATACACCGTTAGTCTAACAAGAACAAAACTAAAAAATACATTTAACATTTTAATTTTTTAACACGGACCATTACCCTAACACCACGAATTTTTCCAACCCTGGCATGAGCACAAAGCCCTGCATTCAAAACGACGCCGTCGAACGCGTGCCCATCACGTGTCTTCAATTCTTTCTTTCTCTTCTCTCATCGCAATAAACCAGTTGCACTGCTAGGGAAGAGCAAAAGCAGTAGGAAGAATCGAGCGAGTTGTGACTCAGCGAGTTTACGAATGGCGAACGCAGCGTTTCGGAACGTGAAGGTGCCTCCGAACTCGGCGAGTCTGGAGGAAGCGCGTCAGCGAGTGTTCGATTTCTTCCGCAAAGCTTGCAGATCGCTTCCCTCCGTCATGGAAATCTACAACCTACACGACGCCGCTTCGAT